TAAACACTGGATTTGTTCAAAGTCAAAATCTGATCTAAAGAGTATCTGAAGGGAAAACAAAACACTGATCATATGACGATACTGGGACTATTACTAGACAAGATCAGCTTGTCCGTCTCCATGTGTTTTATAAGTCATAAAGAAATTTCACAACCCCTTAGTGTCAAGTCTAAGACTAGCTGTAATATATCAAAGAATGATGCAATCAAGAAGCAGCTTCTTCTAGAAAATAATAAGGAGGAGGTTACTGTGATATATGCTGTTACTTCTCGGGATGAGGGATGCTTACCTGCATGATGACCAATACATCCATAGGGTCCTGGTCCTCACAAATTGTACGAGGGATAAAGCCATAGTTATGAGGGTATACTACTGATGAGTAAAGAACACGATCAACCTACAGACGACAGAATTGTTTCATGTAACTCAGCAAAAAAATTCCATAATTTTACTTTTTCAAAATGATAAACTGACCCCTTAATACCTTGATTAATCCAGTTTTCTTATCAAGTTCATACTTCACCTTGCTCCCCTTGCTGATCTCAATCACCTGCAAAGATCAAACAATTGATCAGCTTAACCATATCGCTTGCCTCGCCAAAATATTTAGGGGAAAAGTAAATAAAACCCCATCTTTGTTGAGCAGCCAAGTTTTAGAAGTTTCAAATAGAGAAGTCTATTACATTCTAAATTGACATTATTGAATTTGATGCATAAGCTTCAGAGAGATGAAAATAACAGTTATTAGTTGATTCAGACGGAGTTAGTTGGTCTAAACAATGTAAAAGCAGAGTATTGGCTGATAAAATGATCATCTTGTTTGTTACATATCTACTTTAAAGGTAAACAGTCTATTTGTACTCCCTTAGTTCCATTTTATATATGATGGTATTTGACTAAACATGAAGTTTAAGATGTTAAATTGACTTATATATATCATATCAATGATAGTTGGAGAAAGTACTATTAAGGTAATGGTTGAAAAGTTTATTCGAAATAGAAGACATCACGTCAAAGTTTAAAATTCATAGAGCTTAACGAATGTGAATTCGTGAAGTATGTGAGTTGTAAAGAAATGGATGGTGGAAAACGTTTGGGACATCTCAAAATTGAAAGAGTGACATAAATTGAAAAGGAGGGAGCAATTAAAATGCATATAAACGAAATATTATTCAACTCCTATCAAGGCATGAATTCCATACTTGCATAACAGACATATTTAGGTGAAAGAACATAAGATTTGAATTTTGACAGTTTGACCCAATATAAAGCATCCTTACCACATTAAAAACCTTAGCACTGCACTATCCTCGTATGGAATTTTATTAGGAACAAATTAAATAAGATAAAGATGCATGGCATAATATGATCTTTCATACAGAACTTAAAATTTGCAAAATGGGACTTGTTTAGTATTGAATTGGAACTTTCGCCATGATTTCAAGAAAAAGACATATATGGTTCAAGACACAGATTTAGCGCTCTCTCTCTCTCTATATATATATATATCTGCATATATATATGCAATTCTGAATTCATTATTGACATTTTTTCTCAGCGCGCAGACAATCAAGCCGAAGTTACAAGTACAGGCTTCTGAAGAAGTCAGTTACCAGTTTCCAAGGGAAATATACAGAGCAATAATCACCAAGTTTATTCCAGTCAATTACACACAGCAAAATTTACTGAATTTTCCGTTAGCATTAAATTTAAACATCGACTTTTAGAAAAGACTTGAAAATACTTATGTTCATGAAATCAAATACGTAAAGAACCATATAATAAGAATATGAAGCCGATAGAAGAAAAACTCCAATATAGCACGAAATTAAACTCCGAATACAACACGATACAAAAGAATTCGTGTGTATTTTTACAAAAGAAAATTCTAATACTATTAGGCTTACACGAGGAAACAGATGCCTGAACTAAGAAAAGGAAAAAATGGCTTCAACAAATAGTGGTGCCGCAAAACACAAAATCACGAACAGAGACACTAATATAAAATCGAAAAACACAAAGAAATTGAAATGAAACTAAAGAAAATGCAGCGAAGAAGATGATCGTTACCTGAAGGAATTAAGAGAGAGAAAATCCTAGAAAGAGAAAGAGAATGAGCAGTTGAGTAAAGGAGCTTTCTCTCTCCACTTGCCTGCTTGTACTCTCGTTCCCGCTAATATATTCAGCTGACTGCAGGAGAAAAAGAAACAGAAAGTTCACCCGCGGGGAAAACAGAATTCAGTTGGGAGTTCCAACACGTGTCAATCTGATATTGGATTATTGTGGGGAACGGGTTCGGGCCAAACGGGAAAAGTTTTAACTTGTACTCACTTTTTAAACAACTTCAGCCCCCTTTTCTCCTCCTCCTTCTCCTCCGTCATTTTCTTCTTCTTGTTCTTCTTTCTTCTGCTGCTGTTGGTGCTGCTATGAAACTTAAGTTCATGGTATGATTGTCAAAAGTATGTTTATCAGATTATTTAAAAATAAATTATAAATAATTACGTAAGTTAGTAGACAATAATTTGTGAATATTTCTACGTATGAAAAGTTTAAGGTCGCACTTAGTGATTCTTTTTATGATAATTCTGTTCTTTTCACGTTTATTGTTTCCAAAATTTATGATTTAGATACTGTTGGCAATTTGATTATTTATCTAGTATGTTAGAAAGCTTTTTCAAAAACTTCAGCTTATATAGTGCTGAAGTTTTTACAAATGAACTAAATGACTTCAACATCTTCTGCTGAAGTTTTTGAAAAAGCTTTATGACAAAACTAATGAATCAAGGACAAAAAACTTCAGCTTATTTAGTGCTGAAGTTTTTACAAATGAACTAAATAACTTCAACATCTTCTGCTGAAGTTTTTGAAAAAAGTTTATCCACGACAAAAAAAACTTCAGCTTATTTAGTGCTGAAATTTTTATAAATGAACTAAATAACTTCAGTATCTTCTGCTGAAGTTTTTGAAAAAAGTTTATCCACGACAAAAAAAACTTCAGCTTATTTAGTGCTGAAATTTTTATAAATGAACTAAATAACTTCAGTATCTTCTGCTGAAGTTTTTGAAAAAGCTTAATGACAAAATTAATGAATCCAAGACAAAAAAACTTCAGCTTACTTAGTGCAATTACAAACAAAAACTTCAGCAAATAGAGAACAAAACTTCAGCTACTATGCGCTTAAGTTCAACAATTACAAACAAAAACTTCAACAAATAGAGAATAAAACTTCAGCTACCATGCTTAAGTTCAGCAATTACAAACAAAAACTTTAGCAAATAGAGAATAAAACTTCAGTTACTATGCTTAAGTTCAGCAATTACAAACAAAAACTTCAGCACACTTGCTACTTCAGGCCCGTCTACTAGAATGCTGAAGTTTTGCATGATTGACTTTGCTACTTCAGCCATGTATGCTGAAGTTACGCGAAAAAGTGGATACACTTGCAATTTTTTTTTTTGCAAAATGAGCACAAGTTAAAACGTGACCCAAAAAGTGGGTATAAATGCAAATGCCCCGTGACTCGTATGGTTCGTTCAAGGCCCATTAGTGGAAGCCTAAGCCAAGCCAATTGAGAGCGCACCAACATTTGGGAGCAAATTGAAGGTGAATTGATAGAGGTTTGGTCGTGCTTTTAAAATTAGTTTGTTTTGTAAAAAAAATAATTTGATGAGAAACCATTTGTGTGGGCGAAATTCAAAAATAGCCAGATTTATAAGTGGTAATTGAAAATAGCCGCAGTTTTAAAAGTAATTAAAATTTAGTCACTTTTCATGTAAAGATAAATCTGAACAAAAACACTGTTTAAAATCCGGAAAGTACCCAGCATAATATATTGGAATTCGAATTTTTTACATGTGAACTTTCAGCATAATATACTGGAGTGCTCCAATCTCCAGTATATTATGCTGGAACTTTCCTTGTTGCAGCAAAACAGTGGCTATTTTTTAATGACTTTGTAAATGCTGGCTATTTTTCAATTACCAGTCCAAAAACTGGGTAGCCCGTACTATTTTCACTATTTGTGTTCGATTAATCAATTTGAAATATACAACAATTAATATTTGACCAAATTTTTAAAAAGTATTTCTAAGTGTATTATTTTCAAAAGTATTTTTGGGAAGAAACTATTTTTTTCTACTTCTTAAAAACTGTTTCTGCTTCTACTCAAAAATAATTTTTTTCCTTTTAAAATTTTGGCCAGGAAAAAAAACTTTTGGAATGAATTTTTTTTTTTTTATCAAAAAGAAGCACAACCAAACAAGCTATAAGCTAAAGTGAATTTTACCAAGCGGTGGCCAAGCTTGTTTGGATGGTTGTTACATATTGTATTATATCGTATTATTACTTTAAATACGATGTTTGTTTTGGTTATTATTTAAATTTTATTGTATCGTATCGTTAAGTGCGTCGTTACGTAACGACGGATATGCCACTTTATGTAACGACTGATTTGGTGTGGTTGCATCATTATCTTGTCTTTTTCTCATCTCACTCTTTATTATTATTAAATAATTTTATTTTTTCATTTACCCGACCTTTTTATATAATAAATTTACCCCATATCATAATTTTTCTTTATAATATTGCCAGTTTATTTTTCATATTGCTTGTACGTGATATAATGAAACAACAACAAACGATACGATGTATCCAAACATTGTATTTATCAAATAATAAAGTACAAATATAATATAATACGATACATTATGAAACGATGTGTAACCATTCAAACAAGAAGATTCTATTGTGATTTAAATTATGATTTTTTGCTAAGTACTTTTTTTCTATTTTTTTTGTGATATTGGTTTTTTTAGTTGATGCACAAAAAAAATGTGCCTTATTTTTTATTTTATTTTAGGAATATATTTTTATAATCACAAAATATCATAATTCATAACTTATTTCATACAATATTTAATAACTTTCTTTCTTTTTTAAATTTGGTGCCAAATAAAATCAGTCCTTAAAAGTCAATAAGGAAAACGAAATTCCAGTGGCCGACGGGTGCTAAATTTTATATTTTATTTCCCCCATTTTAACTGTCTCCCTTTATTAGATCTCCCACGTATTCCCAACCTCTCTCTTCACTTTTTCTCCGATCCGGTACGTATTTGTATGTATATGCATATATCTATCTCTGTACATACGCATGAATCAAATTAATTACTCATATAAATTTATTTTTGTTCAAATGTTCAAACTTTGATTTATCTAGGGTTTTTAATTCCTCTTCATCAGTTCCTGCCTTCCTGGATTCGTGAGGAAATCAAATGGCTGCTCCACCTGCTAGAGCTCGTGCCGACTACGATTACCTCATCAAACTTCTATTGATCGGCGACAGCGGTAACGTTTTGTTTTCTATGTTTATTTTCCTTTCTAATTCTTTTTTTAGTATATCCTTCTTTACATTCCATTATTTTGTATTTGTTTCGTTGATTAATTCAAATATTCAGGTGGTCTTGCAATTGAAATGGAGTTAAGTAGTTGTGTAGCTTGTTGTTTCGTTAGTTCACTTGATTCTATTATCAATGAGCATTTACAGTCATTTACTTGCTGCATCATGGTCTAAATACTAAGTCAGAGCAGCTAGGACAACTTAACAACTCTGTGTATTATCCTAGAATTTACAGGAGCTATGGAGCGACAAATACCGTGATATTCCATTACTGTATAGCACATAACTGCTCATACATTGTACGTACAGCATATTATGCTATGCATGTGTTGTTTGTATAAGAGGCACAGAAGGTGTGAACTTACCAAATGACTACTTCTTGATCCTTCATGTGTTAATGCTCCACTTCATAAAACAACAACCTTTTCCTCAAGAGTTGAGTGATGAAAACCTTGTCGGTGAATTATGGAAGTTCTCCAGGTTCTTCGCCTTCCCTTTATTCTCTAAGAAAGGTGAGATTCACATTCGGTTGTGAATTCCAATGTGGCAGGCATATATCTACACAAAACCAATCTCTTTTATCCTAGTCAGAGGAGAAGTTACCAAACTTTTAGCATTGCTTACACTTTGCACGAATGGAGTTTTTATTTGGGTAATTGGAACGCGTAAAATGTGCTTTTATGACTCACTGGGCTGCCAACATCCTATTGTGGTTTTGTAGTGGAAAAGATAAGAAGCCTGCAACACTCATTGGAATCCTTCCAAGCCTCAAGTGGTTTGCATCATACTACCATTGGTTACTCTGATTGATTGAGGTGCGACCTAGAAATTTTGCAGACAATATGATGGACGAGTTTTAGATAATAAATAGAGAATATTCTTGATTAGATATTATAAATAGATGGAAACTGCATTTTAGGAGAAACTTCCAATTCTAGAAGAATGCACCTAAACGTGGACCATCAGCAGTTGTTTAATCTGAAGGTAGAGAAAGATGGTTCCTTTTCTGTTAAATCCAGATCCAGCCTTTTGGGTAAGAAGTGGCAGGAAATGACACTGGCCATGGAAAGGTTTGCGGAACAACAAAGCTCCCCTAGAAGTGATGTGTCATACTTGGCTAGCAGTGTGCAAAGCTTGTCTCAGACAGAAGCAAACTTCAGAGGAGATGATATACTCCCTGCTGGAGATGCTATTTGTGTTTAATGGCAGAGGAAGATTCAGTTGTGCAAAGCTTGTCTCAGACAAAAGCTTGTTTCAGACACCTTTTTATGCACTGCCCATATTCCTGGAAAATCTGAAACATTTTTCTAAGGCTAATGGGAATCAGTTGGGTGATGCCAGGAAGCATGAAGGAGATAATGAGTTTCTAAGAGTACCAAAACAACTGAAGAATTTGTGACATAGGAGTACTATTTTCTTATCAGTAGGATATGTGGAATACTGTACCGCTGTGCATCATATGGCAAATTTGGAAAGAAAGGAATGCTAGATGTATTGAAGGAAAGGCTACCGCACTACATTATATAAATTTCATTTGCTTACGACTTTTTTTTTCTTTTTGGGTGTTGTATGGAAGATTTAAATCATTTTGATGCACTGTTGGACTTTATAGACTCCTTGTATCTTGGATAGGAGTTAACACACCTCTTGTACTGTTTCACCACTTGCTTATTCTTGACTTTTTGTAAATAAAATTCTCCTTATCAAAAAAGAATGTTGAGGACTGGCTTATGCTGTTGAGAGTAGGGTGATGAGTGTTTTAATACATACTGGAGTTAAAAGTGCACTGGTTCGTGATGAATCTGAACTTGAATTTTGATACCAAATTGATGGAGCATTGGACGGAAGAAGAGAGAAAGGGGAGAAAATTGAGAGAAATGGAAGAAATAAAGAACAATCAATTCTTAAAGTCATATTCCTTAAGTCAAGTATTTAACAAAATAGAAAAAGGCACTTATGTTGTAGAATGCGGAACCCTTGACAAGTCAAAACTCTTAGAACAATTAGGACTCGATCCCAAACTAAAAGATAAAGACTACCACAAATTGATAGATTTAAGATAATCATAGTATCTTTTTTTCTTTCCTTGATCCATCATTTGCATTGGAGAATTTTCAAAGTTCTTGGTTGAGGATAAAGGTCGACAAATTGTGAGCATGTCAAGATGAGCTTCCTCTGTAGTCCCCTCCCCCCTACAGTTCTTTTGTTGTTTCTTTGAGCAAATGACTCAGTCGACGAGAATGTTAAAAAATCTCCTTAAGAAAAAGCATAATTGTACTCATTTGGAACAAGTTAAGGAACCACATTGCCACCGAGGTCAATCTTCAAACTCTGTTAGCACATTGTCTTCTATTCAATTTTTTCTGTGTCAGCATTTCTACAATTTTCCATTTGAAGATTGACTGCTGAGTAGAAACTGGGAATAGATCAACTGCTATTCTCAATCTTGGTCGATCAACTGTTTTTTTTGAGATGATGAACACTTTGTGATTATTACTTATTTGGTTTTTCTGAATTTAATCAAGTACAACTTATATTTGAATTTTCAGGTGTGGGTAAGAGTTGCCTCCTTTTACGTTTCTCAGATGGCTCCTTCACCACCAGTTTTATCACCACTATTGGGTAGTCATCCTCTCATTTCTTTCTTGACATTCTATGGTTTTTAATTTCATATCTTGGTATTTTTCTTAAACTGCTTGTGTTTCAAACATAAAGAAACATATAGAGATGTAATTGATTAGAAGTGAAACTTCACAATGAGATAGGATTTCTCATTGAATAGCAGCAGAGAACCTCTTAAACTTAAATGTAAACCATGAAAATATTTAGTAACATGGTATTCAGCAAGATTAAGAGTATTAATGGCCTCTACTAAGTATATATGAGTGTTGGTATTTAAATGTTTTCTCTTTCTTTTTCTTTTTCTGCCAATTGATTCCAATGAAAAACTTTCTTTCACAGTATTGATTTCAAGATAAGGACCATAGAACTTGATGGCAAACGAATCAAACTGCAAATTTGGGATACTGCTGGCCAGGAGCGGTTCCGAACAATTACAACAGGTATACATGTAGGTTTTTGTAGTCAATGGTTTGCCTGAAACATAGACCATATCAGTCCTCTATATGCTGCCTTTAACTTGAGCATGCATCCTTCATGAATACTCAATTTTCTCTTCTGTAATGTAGGTTTCTGCAGTTAATTGAGAGAAACATATACCTTTGACTGACTGGCATTAATGCTATGTAAAACAGAACTATCACTTATCGTGAAGTCAACTGAAGTTTGCATCAAGAAGATACCATCCCTAACTTTTGTTCATGAATTATTGTATGATAAATATGTGGAAATTCCATAAAAGAATGTTTTATTTTTCTGGGACTTTGGTTTTTTGTCCGTCATGTAGAATATAAGCTCGAGAGAACACCAAAAGGTTGAGAATGCATGATTCCACACCTTCTACCTTGTGTAGTTATACTGTATTTCACCTATTGGATGGTATTGCTAATTAAGTAGTTGCCTAATTTATGTTGCAGCTAATTAAGAAGTTGTCTCAATGACAAATCTCTTGATTAGAGAGGTCTCCTAGTCCTAGTCATATTCATGTTTTATCCACACTAAATAATATATACAATATGCTAAAGCTCCTACCCTATTTGCTCCATTAAATGATGTGCTTTAGGCAATGCCCTGTCCTTGGATGTCAGAGTGCCTTGATGAACGTATCCTCAATTGGTTGCGCTTAAATTAAAGCTGGCGAAGATGAATCAACTACCTTAGCCACACTTTTAGCCCCATTAGCATGGATGATAGCATGGATAACAGAAGGTGTGGTTCCTCTTGGTTGCCAGGAACTCATTATGATCAGTATCTACAATAAGGGTGGACTGCACCTGCTGGCTAGCACGATCTTCACACCCATAACTGAAGCTATGTGAAATTTTCCCATGATGAATAATAGCAGGATCTCAACAGTTCCTTTGGTGTAATTGTTGCATATTAGAATATCACTGGAATAAACATCATATCAGGTGTTCATCCTATCACGTCACCTCGGTAATATCACAAACCTTGATTTATAAGCTGGCTTTGAAATCAAACAGTTTGAACTTGGGAGTGTTTGCTCCATGGATGGTAACACAACTTCGACTGTGCGCTTGCTCAAACCCCACAAGATAGCTTGCTTATGGTACTTTGGCAATTTCCTTTGTTCGAATATTAAGAATCTAGGAACATAAGATGAGTGTTGGCCTGTCAATAATTGAGAGCAGCAAACCAGATTAAATTGCAACATTACTAAGAATTGAGATGTAGTAAACTGCAATGAATGTCAGTAAATGAGACTTGCAGAAGGGCATACTGGAATAAATGTTGAACTGATGAGAATCTTTCTATTTTTTAAAATCACGTTTAAAGTAGGGTTTAATCTCCCCTAACTCTGGGAAGGTTATGGAGCTACTTATGCTCTTAATAGATACATACGAGTTAGGAAATTATTATTTCGGAATCCGCAATTCAATATAGATGGATATGGCTTTGGCTTAACAATGTTTGCAGGGCAGCTATGCTGTCTTTTCCTTGATAATTGCCTTTCTTTTTGGTGACTTGTCAATTTGCTTCTCTTTCAAATAAACCTGCTTATATTTTTAGTACTTTACTTCTCATGCAGCTTACTACCGTGGAGCCATGGGTATCTTGCTGGTATATGATGTGACTGACGAGTCATCGTTTAACAGTAAGTTCCACTAGTTTTACAAATAAAGTGCTTGGAGTAGGATTTTTAATTTGGAGTTGGAGTTGTTCCCTTTTTTTGTAGATGAATTTATTGTCTTGTAAACCCAGGGTTGGGTTAATGGTGAGGGTTTAGCCATACACTTTGATCTTGGGCTAGAAATACCCTCCAACCTCTTGCCAAGTTTCCATTCTCTGAAAATATATTTGTTTGCCTTGTACGATTTGCAGTCTGTCCCTCCTCCTCCCTCTTCTTCTTGTTAGGTGAACTTCCCTAAGATAAATTTGATTAACATTTTTGTTGGTTCATTTAGACATCAGGAATTGGATACGAAACATTGAACAACATGCTTCTGACAATGTCAATAAAATACTCGTGGGAAACAAGGCAGATATGGATGAAAGCAAACGGGTATTCTGTCTATCTCCTCTATCCATCCGTTCACTATTAATTTGTTGATATGTGTGTATATTGCCTTGCTTTTCTATTATTTTCTCACTTGATATGATCCTTCTCTAGGCTGTTCCTACATCCAAGGGTCAAGCGCTAGCCGATGAATATGGCATTAAATTCTTTGAGACGGTAAGTGGAACTGGTTTTCAGCATTGGAATTATTTTCCGGCAGCACTCATACTCAGATCCTAGTTATATTTCATGCAGAGTGCCAAGACGAATATGAATGTTGAGGAGGTTTTCTTTTCAATAGCTCGGGATATAAAACAAAGACTTGCTGAATCTGACAATAGAGCCGAGGTATGAGTTCCAAACTTCAGATTCAATCCCCTTCCCTTTTTGGTTTATTGATTAGGAAGAAAATATATTGTAATTCGTCTTCTGGAATGCTGACTATGGATATCTTTTTTTGATTCAACAAAGGGCAAAATCTTTGATTGAAAATTGAAAACTCTTCCATTATTTCCTTTCCATTTTTCTGTGTCTTATATGACTTATTAGTGAATCTTCAAATTCTTGTTTTCGTCAGTTAAAATGCAAAATGAGAGAATGCATGCCTTTGTTTGATCACATTGACAAGGAAAGTAGAAATAGGAAAACAGAATGTTCTTAACTCAAAAGATTCTTAAAGAAGTGGTAAGTAAAGAGACAGTTTCCGCCAAATGTCTTCCGCTTTGTGTTCATTTTGTAACCGGATACAGTTTTTGTTGCATCCTCGTACAGTCGTACTTTGTATCTTTTCCTCTAATTGCACTTTTTAACATCTTGTTCCACACTTGTTGAGTGTATTTATTCATGCTTTCCTGGATGTTGCAGCCTCAGACCATCAGGATTAATCAACCCGACCAGGGAGCAGGAGGTGCTCAAACTGCCCAAAAATCAGCTTGTTGTGGTTCTTAAGAAATTGGCAGTAACGAAGATAGGATGATGAGGGAGGAGGAATTAATCTTTTCCATGACGTTAATGTTTCTTCACAATCTATTTACTTTCTCGAAGCTCCTACTATGTCTAAAATTATAATCTAAGTCTTGCTTATTATTTCTGGCTTATGTGTACTCCTTTTTGGGGGTTGGGTGAGTGGTATTTGTAGCCATTTTCCTCTTTATCATTTTTTGGTGCTCGAGCGTTTGTGGACTGGACAAAAATGAAAACAGAATAAAAAAGGAAAAATAGAGAGAATAAGGTAACGAAGATGGAAGAAAGGGGTCGAAAATTGAAACTAAGTGAATATCTGACACAGTAAACTTCAAGAAGGGTAAAAATGTATTTCTTTTTCCATATTTTTTCCTGAATCTTTCTTTTGCTTCATAGAGCTTCTCTCTTTTCTTCCATGATTTTAAAATGGCAAGGGCGAATTATTTGTTGGACGGCCCTGTGGAGCTTTTAGAAAAAGGCAGTCTTCGACGCAATACTATCCTTTTTCATTTCCATATCCCTTCCTTGATCTAATTGAAGCCCAAATTAAAAAAAACATGGCTCATATGATTCAATATTTGCATACGGGTCGAAACCAGTGCAGGGGTATAATAGCGCAGAACCTGAAAGTTGATAAATATTCTTGAAAGAAAAGAAAAAGATGATGCAACAACAGTTACAAAATACGACTTTGGCCACAAAGTAATTAATTCCTCGAGGTGTCAATTCTCTAATCTACTGCCAATTATCAATTGACATCTGCAAATGGAGTTCTATTTGGAGATGCTCCTGTACATTGTTGTAATTGCCGCTGATTCTTTCCCTCAGCACCACTCCACTTTGGTTCATTTTCCAGACTAACTTTAGATATCACTGTTCTCATATCTTCGATGGATGCTAGGCTGGGAATTTGTACCAGTCGCTTCATCGGTGTCTTATCAGTGTACATGTCAACCTGTTTATAAGATTATTGTTCAATAAATTAGAATAGCAAGATTACTTTATAAATTATAACTAAAATTTAGCTTAGATCCTTGACAGTTCGTTGCTTAGAAAGTACCCTGTGAAATATAAGTAAATAAAACATAGTAAGCGAGTATATACCATGTAGTCTTTTTGGAGGCATTGTTCTTTTGTACATTGGATATCTGATATACATTCACCATGGTTCTGTTGCATAGAGTTCAGCTGATTCAGACACATGCTACTTATTGACTCAATTCTATTCTTGTGTTCCATGTCCAACGTCAAAGAATCTGCAAACACATGGCAACTTTGTTTAATAAAAGCATCTCAGTTTGAGGGGGAGAGGGTCATAATCTGTATCCAGAAGATTTCAGATACCATTGAAAGAAGTCAGCAAATCGTGACCATGGGCTTCAACTTTCTGGTCCACAGATGAAGAAGTGGAGAGAAATTCATCATATGCACCACCAATTCTGATGGAGCTTTCCCTATCAAGGACAGAAGGACAGATACTAAGAATTAGAATTAAATAAGAAATAACGGAAAACTGAATAGGGTCGCAAAGGAGAAACTTACTGTGAAATGTGTTCTAGTTCTGCAAGATTGTTTATAAGAATTTGATGGATTCCTGATTGAGTTTTCCCCAACTGTTCATCCAAGTTATCCACCTTGTTTGTGCTAAAAGAGGAAAAGAATTATTAAGCAAAGATCCAAAAGCTTCTCAGACTACTGACCCAACTAACAGTCCTATGCCACAAATTATTCACAGTTATGCATGCAAGATGCTTTATTATTGATGGTTCATGCTTTGGAACTGTTATTTTGGGAAATATTCAAGTGCTCCTTCTGTTGTTTTACTCTTATACAAGCCGGCACCTCTCTTTTTTCTAAATATACTTATTGCACATTCGACGCCACCTCGTCTTCCTTCAAGATGAAAAATTGTGTCGTAAGAACAGATAGCATACCACTCTTGCAGGCAAGTTTCCAAAGTCATTCTGCTTCCAGTGTATGTCAATGTGTCTTCCGAGAAATTTTGTGTCACCTCATTAACGTATCCATTCAATTTTTGCTTTGCACTAGCTGAAACCTGCTGGACACCTGTCAATTCTCGCAACAGCTGTTTATTTTCTTTTGCACTAGAATCCTGGAAGTTTCTTGACGCTTCTGACACCTGACATTAAATATTTCGCGATGAATATATCTCTTATTGAATGTCATGCATGATAAGAGATGCAGGATCAACAGACTCACCATAGCTGCTTTCTTAGTTGTCATAGTTGCCAATATTGCACCAATTTTCTCAAGAGCCAAATTTTCTTCTCTAAGTGCCTCTTCCTGCCACAAAGATAAAAGGAGAGATTTTAGCTTCCTGATAGGCACTTAGATATTGATTGAAGATAGTTGAGTCACTTCTGCTTCTTAACCTTGAATGTCTTCTCAAACTTCTGTAGTTGGTCAACTTTATCAATGTTGCTCTTATCGAGAAGTTTCATCACTTCAGAAGCACGTTGATGGAGATCATCAAAGAAGTTTACAGTCGCCTGAGAAATTAATTGAGCTGAAACAAGACTTCGACGAAGTCCCTGTGGCATCGATGGTTTGTTCAGTTCTATGTTTCGGTAATTAGAATACATAAAAAAGATGTATAATAGATGAGAGGGTAGAAGATAAAACTAGCGGTAATAAATACCTGCATAGGCTGTAAAAATGATTCTTGTGAAATATATAAGGGCAAAAATTGACTAACCTCTTCTTGTTGTTTAGCAGAGAAATCTAGTATTTCTCTTTGTTCGTCCAGAGAATTCTTGATATCACAAACGAAATCTTTGGCCTCCAAAGATGCAGCTCTAAGAAACTGCATTGAAAAGATTCCCGCTTAATTTAATATAACCTAATCAGCATGTAACATCAGAAACACAGAGACTTCTTACTTTCTCAACTGCGGTAGCTTGAGATGATATTTTAGACTTGATCTGGTCCAGATCAGTAGAAGCTTCCAACTGCAATACATCAACAAGCTCCTTCAAGCTTGCCATGCCAGAAGTGTGTGTCTGAGTCATTTTGTTGATCTTTGATTCCATGACCTTAGTAACCTAGTGGTTGTTATTAAAATGGTATTGAGTTCCTCAACCAATGAACTTAGTACACTAAAGGTCAGTAGAACGCTCAGAATTTAATATCTTACATCACATTTGCTGGCAAGAAATGAGCTGACATGCTCCTCCATGCCTCTTAATTGATGCTGTTGCTGGGAATTCAACCCGTGAATGATTTTGTGCAGGTCATTTAAACTTTTTTCAAGCCGTGAACCAAATGTATGCAGCAAATTTTGATTATCTGCTTCCAGCTTGTCTTTATGATCTGCATAAATTGGAACCTTTACGAGTGCACACCTTGCTTATATATATATTAAAGAAATGACATGTTCAGTTTGCTTCAAAACATGAGAAAAAGGTTGCAGCTTGGAGTCACTAGTCAAAGAATAGAGAGATCATTTTACTTCTTTAGCACTGCCTTAGACATAAGAGTGTAATTCATGCTAATATGTAGAATACAGATGCAAAATATAATGCCAGCAAGATGAACCAATAAGCAAACAAAATCCAAGAGTACCTATTCTTGAAAAAAGTGAAGTTATATCCTCTGATGCATTCTGCAAATTTTTCCGCAAGTCCTTTGCACAATCAATTAGACAATTTTCTGTTTGCAAGTTATAGAATCACATAATCATGGAAGAGTTAAGCTCATACAAAGAAAAATTTACTTGGAAGAACTTCAAATACCTGAATGTATTTGTTTTGAAATAATGAACTCTTTTTCCTTCAGTGTTGAAATAGCAATCCTGTGATTCTCTTGAAGCTCATGTAATGCCTTTTTACTATTTTCTAGATTTGCCTGGGCAATAGTTGGAAGATATGAATTATTTACAGAAGAAGAAGCACTATGCATGATTTATAAACAACTTTGTTAGCATTACCTGGCACTCTTTGAGTTCAGCTTTCAGGTTCAGTTTTTCTTCCTGCTCCCTAAGATAAAGCTCACGGAATTTATCAATTTGCTGTCACAAGTTAAGGGGGAAATATCCAGTAAGTGCATACATTTAATGATTTAGGATCTTAAAAAACATTAACAATAAAGTAAAGAAAGGGAAACGATGCCAAAATTACCTTTTCACTAATGTTTAGATCAATCTCCAACTGCTCGATTTTCTCATTCTTTGCCTATAAGATATGACAATGACATTTAAAAATTACTTAAAACATAAAGTGCCAGGAAAGTCCTACACAGTGAATGTCTTATCATGCACAATGTTGTTCCAAATAACATATAACCAATATATTGGGGTCAAAGGTTCAGAACTGATTGATTATTTAAAGTGGTTTAAAGCTAGATTGTAGTCACTGGGTTAAAGGCCAAATTGCATTTTTGGAATAATCAGGTTTAAATTTCACCAACTCGAAAGAAATCTTTTAAGATCTACTCAAAGGGGAAGCATACAGTTGTTAGATAGATTTCATTCATAGATAGACGAACCATCTCTGCAAATTATTAGAATTTGCTAGCCAAATCTAAGAACATATACCTTTTTTTCTGCTTCATCCTGCAAAAATCTTTCATGAGGAATGTAAACTCCATTCTTTTCTCTTGCAGCTCGGATATCTGGTAAGATCATAAAGGCAAATGACCTAATTGGTAAAGAAGAGATCACACACCACAAAAAAAAGATCCTTGAATTTTCTTTGTATCCTAGCATGGAAACGAAGAGATCACACACCACAAAAAAAAGGTGTTAATATACCTTGTTTCATCCTTTCGAATTCTAAGTACAGATCCTTGAGCAGCACTGCCTTGGACATTCTCTGGTTAGCCTGAAATCCGTTAACTTTATCCAGCTCAAACTACAGACAACACCTAAAGAATAATATAAGCAAGAGAATCACAGTTTAACCTCTGGTTTGTTTTTGATGTTTTTAGCACGGTGTGCATAATCCAGTGTGCTTAAAGTTTCTTCAAGACAATGTGCAGAGGGAGAAATTGTTGCAATAATACAAGTTTTTGTCTTTCCTCCTAATGAATCTCGGAGGAGTCTTGTTAGCTTACTATCCCTGTGTAGTATAAAATTAAAAGAGTTAAATGGAGAAGCATCGGGAGAACTCCAAAGAAG